AATTTTATTTATCATTATTATTCATTTAATTTGAGCAGAGAGAGAGAGAAAGGGGAAGTGAAAAAAGAAGTCACCAGGACCAGGATTCGAACCACAGTCAGCCATGTAGGATTCAAGCACTGTAAACATCACGGCCACTTGCTGGCCCCAAGAACTGATACTATTTTTTACATGTTTGTTCAAACAATGCCTGAGCGAGTAAGTTCAACTTTTTGGTAGTGGCAGTACACATAGAATATGGTTGACGGAAGAATGTTCTGTAAAGTAAAAGTTTCTAGGGTATGCTCCAGGACTTCCATATTATGACCTGAAGAGAACAGCTCCCGATGCAAGTATGACAGACTCATGAATACTGTTGAAAGAGAATAGGTGTAATGATAATAATAATAAAATAAAGTTTAAAAAAAAAAAAAAAGGCCAGCAAGTGGCATGGTGGTTAAAGGCGCTGGACTCCCACATGGCCAACCATGTTTCAAGTCTTGGACCTGGTGGCTTGCTTTCTCACTTCCTCTCTCTCCCTCTCTCTTTCTCTCTGTCTCTCTCTGATCAAACTGGAAAATAATAATGATAATAATAATAAAATAAGGTTAAAAAAAAGAAAGAGAATGGGTGTAAAACTGATTATTTCAACGGGCAACAGACAAAGTCACCAGATACATTGTACCCTATGGCCATTAGAATTCCGTGAAGAAGATTTGAAACAAACATATATGGAATGCTTCTGATTTACTTTGTTAGAGAAGAATGTGAACTTAAATACACAAATTTAAACAAAGTCCTACAGAGTGAATATAATCAGGTTATTTAATTTAGATAGATTTGGCTTTAGAGTAAGTTTTCTATGGATAGGTTAACACAAACTATACACTACAAATAAATTTTTTATTTAAAAGAGAGATTTTTGCTACAGGGCACATGTGCTTGCCAGAGAGACAGATAGAAAGTGAGAAACCACTGTCCAGGGGTGATGGACATGTTGGAATTCCTTCCCCTCCATTCTCATCTAGGGACTTTGGGCATGTACACACCCACACCCAGTATGAGTTTTAAGCCGCCAAATCCAGGACTGGAACCACAGTGGACTACGTGGGAGTCCAGTGACGTAGCCATTACACTATCTACTGGTCCCACACAAATCTTAAAGTTCCAACTCTTCGATTAGAGCCCAAATTAACACTGATGTAAATATGCATAATCACAGTATCAGGCTAACCAGACAACTTACAATGTACTAAATTGATAATTAAGTGACAGTAATTTATATTAATAGGAGCAATTAAAAATTATGACCAAAAATAATAAAAGAATCAAATAAGGAGGAAAGAAAAATTGCAGCCTACATGAGAAAACATTGTGATAAAACTTTTCTTGGAGGGAACCAGCAGTTAGCGTAATGGCTATGTCGCTGGACTCCCACGTAGTCGACCACGGTCCGCATCCCGGACCCGGTGGCTTAAAACTCACGCCGGGTACGTGTGCGTGCGTGCCTAAGATCCCAAAAGGAGAATGGAGGAGGAGGGACTGCAGCGTGACCATCCCCCCTGGGGGGTGATTTCTCACTTTCTGTCTCTATGTCTCTCTCTGTCTGTCTGGCAAGCACACGCGCCCTATAGCAAAAATAATCTCTCCAAAAAAAAAAAAAAAAGCTTTTCTTGGAGGAGGCCGGCAGATAGGATGGTGGTTGGGGCACTGGACTCCCACATGGCTGACCATGGATTGAGTCCTGGACCTAGTGGCTTGCTTTACCACTTTCCCTCTGCCTCTCTCTCTCTCTCACACTCTGTATCTCTCTGGTCAAATTAAATAAATAAAGTTAAATAAATAAAATAATTTTGTAAAAAAATTTTTTCTTGGAAAACTGATGTGATTCCATTTATCTTCAGGTTCACATGAGAGTAGAAGATTTATAACACCACAGAACACTGCATTAAGAGTCCTTAGAAAATTATTTGTATGTTTGTTTGTTAGTTTGTTTTTAAAAAAAGAATTATTTTGGACCAGCAGTTGGCATAATGGCTATGTCACTGGACTCCCACATAGTCAACCGTGGTTCAAGTCCCGGACCCAGTGGCTTAAACTCATGCCAGGCGTGTGTGCCCAAGATCGCAAGAGGAGGAACTGCGGCGTGGCCATCCTCCAGGGGGGTGATTTTACGCTTTCTGTCTCTGTGTCTCTAGCAAGTGCATGCACCCTATAGCAAAAACCTCTCAAAAAAAAGAATTATTTAACTTTATTTCTTTATTTGTTTAAATTTCACTGGTGGGGTGGGGGTGGGGGTGTGGTGGGAGGAGTAAGCTGCCAGGTCTGAGATTCAAACTGCAGTTGACCATGTGGGAGTCCAGCGCCCTTAACCACCACGCCATCTGCCAACCCTGGCTTTGTATATTAATTTTAGATCTGAACACCAAGTTTTAGAAACCCCTAACTTACTTATTAGTACCAACTCCATAGATCCATGAAGAGATGAAAGTTTAAGGAAATGGGCAAAATTCAGTCTTCAGAACAAAGAACCAGAACTTCAGATCCATTCCAGGGCCACCTTAAGAAACCTAAGGCCGGGAACCAGCAGTTAGCGTAATGGCTATGTCGCTGGACTTCCACATAGTCGACCGCTCACTGGACTCCCACGTAGTCGACCACGGTTCGCGTCCCAGACCCAGTGGCTTAAAACTCACGCCAGGCGCGTGTGCGTGCGTGCCCAAGATCCCGAGAGGAGAATGGAGGAGAAGGGATTGCAGTGTGACCATCCCCCCTGGGAGGTGATTTCTCACTTTCTGTCTCTATGTCTCTCTCTGTCTGTCTGGTGAATGCACGCGCCCTATAGCGAAAATCTCTCCAAAAAAAAAAAGAAAGAAAGAAAGAAACCTAAGGCCCACTATGAACTGCAGGTCACTTGTTTAAATACTATTTTTTGTGTAAGACAAAGTCTACCTCCCTCTCTACTTCCTACACACAGGGGAAAGGCCTTCAAAATTATCAGGATATAAATAACTATTAAAACATATCAGTAATGTATAGAGGGCATTATATTTATTCAAATATCTTACAACTATACAGTACTTTGTAGCTTACAAAGCTCTTTTATGTGCATTATTTCATTAATACATCAATCCTGAGAAGATGAAATTATTTTCATTTTAAAGATGAGAAACCTGAGTACAAAAAAGTTAAGTGCCTTGCTCAAGGTAAAGGCAGATATTCAGCTAAGTGGGAGAGCTAGGACGTCCTATTCCGAGTCAAGGACTCTACTATAGGCCAAATCTAGAGATCACATAAAGCATATAAAAAGGCTTTGCAAAACTAAAAGAACCAGAAAGGTTTTATTATGAAGATCATTAATTGCTGACTGAAGCACCTACGATAGCTATACCCAGCCCCTACCTGAGTAATTCGACCGCTATTGTGTTCAAATATAGGGTGAAGGGGCCATGCAGACAACACAAGCTGGTAAAGAGGCTGCCTCCCATGCCTAAGGCAAGGCCTGGGGTGGGAAGAAACTGCAAGCAAGGTCCGCAGTTTACAAGCCCTCCACTGTGTCACTGTACTGGCCTGCACTCAATTTCTCTGCCGTGACCCTGCAAAGGTAAAACAACACCCCCAACCTTATTGCAACTTTACAATAAAGCCAATTAGTGATCCTGGAGGAATGCGGTTTCTCGGTTTCCTAAGACAGCACTGGAGGACCAGGAAGTCTGAGAACTCCCCCACCTGCCTGTTTTAAGCCAAAATTAGCATATGTTAGGTTAAGCTAGTATAAGCCAAATTTGCCATAGTAGCATATGTAGACTAAATTAGTTTAAGGCTAGTTATCCGTAAATACCCCTTATTAAAGCTAAAGGCCAAAGTTAACTTATGTTAGGCCAAGTTAGCATCTACCACCATAATAGGAACATAAAGCACAAGAATTCACTGATTAACGGACAAAGAATTCAACTAATAAATACAGGGACCCATGGGTTAATAGAGGAAGGACAGATCTGGCTAACAGCGACAGGATAAACAAACCTGAAGGCTCCAGGGGGAAGAGTAACTATCTTAGCTGAAAGTTCTTATCTGGTTCGGGCAAGCAACAGATAGTACCTAACTACAAACAGTTTTTCCCCTGTATGCTGTTAACTATGAAAAACTGCTAATAAAACATCCTGTGTTGTCTCCTGAGCTACAAGACCCTCTCATCCGAAAAGGCCCTGTCAGGTAATCAAGATTTAAGAAGAAAATACACTAGACAAATAGACTCCTTCATCCTGAGAACTGTAATTGATTATACCTAATCAAACAAGACAGACATCATGTTTTATGATCATTGTTCCTGTGCCTTAAATTCCCTGTTTCGTAGAATAAATCTTTTATTTCCCCCTCACCCCTCCTACTCCTGTAAGACATCCCTCAATAAATATGTGTGTTTGGTAGCCACTAACACTGCGGTCCTGAGCTTGCTCTGGCTGTAGCCGGCTGAGAACATGCTAAGGAGCATTGAGGTTTCAGCCTAATTTTGTTCACCCACATCACCTTCCTATGTACGAGTCTCAAACCACCCAGGCTGGAGCAGGCCCCCAGCAGTGATTCTAGCATAAAGTAGGCCTTCTGATCTAAGTCAAACGATACAAATAGCAATCAATAGTGCTTTACAAACATGCTTTTCCACTCTCACTCATTTTAATTTTGCATTTTCCTTTTATTTAATCATCACACCTTAATTAGACATTAGACATGGTATATCAAGAATTTGGTAGTCAAAGTGCTTTTTAAAAAAATATTTCCGTAATAGCTATAAGAAAGGAAAATAAATCTCTATAACACAATTACATGAAAATATCTTTGTAGTGTACTATTTAAAAAAAAATTCTATTCTAGTCATTATTTAGAATACTAAAAAGTACAGCCCTTGGAGTTTGTGATATTAAGAACACTAAATCACATTCACTTGATTAAAAGGAAGTTTTACTGCATTAAACATAATAAAACCAATTGTAAAACAGTGCACATTGCATAAATCTTACCTTTTGCAGACTTGTTGGATTCAACTGAGTTTTGTCAATTATTTTAATTGCAACCTAAAAGAAAATAAATTAACAAATATTTATGGATTTTAAAAATTTGGTAATTATAGAATAGCTAGTAATAGTTTTGTAAATACCCAAATATAGGGCATTGTTTAAAAAGCAAGCAAGCAAACAAACCTGAAAATAAAAAACTGGTTATATGAGCAATTAAAAATTTTTTTTCACTATAAGATACATGTGTTCACTGGAGAGACAGAGAGTGGAAAAGTGAGAAATCACCTCCCGGGGATTTCTACAATCCGTTCTCCATTCTCTTAGGATTTTGGGCATGCAGGACACATACATACACATACATACACACACACACAAAGCCAGATGTAGTTTTCAAGCTGCCAGGTTAAAGACTTGAACCACAGAGTAAGCCATGAGGGATGCAGTACCTTAACCACCACGCTACCTGTTGGCCCTATATAAGCAATTTTAACTGTTATAAAACTGTATAATTAAATATATGGGTTTTATGCAAATAAGGGTACTGTTATGACATTTTCTATTTTCCTATAGGCAAGAGGAAGAAGAAAAATTCATCCAAGTCAAAAAAGAGAGGAAAAAAAGGAGGCAAAGAAAAAAAGGAAAATCATGAGACCTTTCTCTGTGTAGCTATTGACACTTCAATTTTAGCCAACTCTGGGATCTTAGACCAGTAACTGCAGCTCTTAGAAGTTTAGACAGCTCAGAATACCTCCTGGAGTGTCTTATATGAGTGCTTAATAAATAAGTATATAAACAAACAGGTTGCTGTTGGATCTGAAAACTTTTAAAAACGCTTTACTTGTTTATTCTTACTTATTTGTAAATTTTTGTTTATTAAATAAATAACCAATTTGTTGTCATTTTCAAGCTGTAAGGCTCAGGACTCAAACCGTGGTCAGCCACATGGGAATCTAGCACCTTAACCATCAAGTCACCTGCTGGCTTCAGGGAGGGAAAAAAAAAACTTTATTTAAAAGATACATAGAGCCAGCCTGTGACATGGTGGTTAAGGTAGCTGGATCCCACATGGTTGGCTGCACAGTTCGAGTCTCGGATCTGTAGTTTTGACAAAACATTCTAGGCACGTGTGCGTGTGTGCCCAAAATCTTGAAAGGAGGAAAAAGAGAAGGGATTGCAGCATGACCCACCCCCAGTGGGTGCTTTCTCCCTTTAGCTAATTCTCACTCTCTCTGGTGAACGCATGCATTTTCTGGCAAAATTTTAGAAAGAAAAAGATTTACGTAGAGAACAAATTCCAGAACTATTTGCAGGATAACCAAGTAAAATATAAGAGGGTTTCAAAACTTTGTGGAAAATACACATTATGAAAAGAACTATCCATAATTTCCAAAAAATTTTTTTGCACCAAAATAAGTTCATACTTCAGAGCCAACATATGACCTGGTGGTTAGAGTGCTGGATCCCACATGGATAACTGCATGGTTCTAGTCCCAGACCCAGCAGCTTGAAAAATATGCCAGACACTTGTATGCATATATGCACACCAGTGTGCACACATCCAAAATCCCAAGAATGGAGAAGGAATTGCAGCATGGCCATCACCGGTGATTTCTCACTTTCCCTCTCTCTGTCTCTCTGGCAACGTACACACCCTATAGCACACTAAAAAATAATAAATAATAAATTCATGCTTTAATTTCATGTTCTCTTGTTTCCTCCTTTTTCTTTTCTTTTCTTTTTTTTTTTTTTTTTTTAAGGTTTGTGCCATAGTTTTTTGTTGAGGTCACCTCATATATACACAGGCAATAAAGAGGTTTCTTGAAAGCTTTCTGTTCAGAAAGTGATGAGTACACCTCAGGAGGAATTAAAAGTAAGTTATGGATATCCAGAATGGTGAGGATGGGGATGATAGCAGAAGAGAATATAAGTGGAACAAGGCTTTGTCATGACCAGGGTTGTAAATTACTTTAGCTTTGCACTTGAGGTTCAGAACAGCAAATGAGTTTGCCTAGTAAGACCCATAAGAACCTACTGTGCATCCTGCAGATCCAGCCCAGTAAGATATGCCCCTGAAGGAAGCCTCTGGAGCAGGTCTGAGGACTAGGCTAAGAGATTCTCTATGTCAGCAGCCTTCGCACTTTTTGGTACACTTCCTACTCTTAAAGATTACTGATGACCCTAAATATGGATTAATCTATCATATTTACCATATTATAAATAAAAACAGAAATTGTAACTATATATATATATATATACACATACATATATATATATATATATATATATTATTTAACAATTCACTTCATGTCTTTCTGCAAAAAATCATTATTTATTTATTTGCTTGCCAGAGGGTGTGTGAACTTGTGAGAGACAGAGAGAGACAAAAAGAGAAACCACGTACCACCTAAGGGGTACAGTCACACTGCAATATTTTTTCCTTCATTGGTCCTTCCCACCAGGATTTTATTGGGTCATCAGGAAAGTTATGATGCATTTTTGCATAGAAAAACATCAAAAAATAAGTCATGACTTTCCCAACAACCTAATATCTAACTGGTGTTTTTTGTAAGTCGCCAGGGACAGAATTTAAACCCTGGTTGGCTCTCTTAACTACTAGGCTTTGAGGTCAGCCCAACAATTCATTTCAAAATAACAACAGTAATCCCATTACATGTTAAAATAAGAAACCTGTTTTTATGAAATTTGTACATATGCTTCTACATTCAATCTGTTGTGATGTCACATCAGGACTCCAGAAAATTTGAATCTACACTTGGAAGAGAGAGTGAAAAAATGTTTTAGTAGCACTACAAAAACAGTTTTGACTTTGTTGATTCCCTTAAAGTGGCTCAGAATCCAGGGAACCCTATGCCATACGTTGAGTATGGCAGTACTTCGCACATGAACACTTTAAAAAAAAAAAAAAGCTATTTATTTAATTTGTCATTATTTTTAATGTGCTACAGGGCACGTGTGCTCACCAGAGAGTGTCAGAGACAGAAAGCAAGAAAGAAAGTGGGGCTACCAGTTGGCATGGTGGTTGTGGGCACTGGATTTCCACACAACCAACCGTGGTTAGAGCCCCAGACTTGGAAGCTTGCTTTTTCACTTTCCCTCTCTCTCGCTCTGTCTCTCTCTGATCAAATGGAAATAAATAAATAAAATTAATAATAATTTTTAAAAGCGGGAAAGAAAAAGTGACAAAGCAAGCCACCACGTCTGAGACTCAAACCATGGGTTAGCCATGTGAGAATTCAGAGCCTTAACTATCAATCCACCTGAGGGCCCCATTAACAGTGATTTTTAGGGAACCAAGAGTTGGCGTAATGGCTATGTCGCTGGACTCCCATGTAATCAACCACGGTTCAAGTCCCGGACCTGGTGGCTTAAACTCATGCTGGGTGTCTGTGTGTGCGCGTGCGTGCCCAAGATCCCGAGAGGAGAATGGAGGAGAAGGGACTGCTGCGTGGTCATCCCTCTGGGGGGTAATTTCTCACTTTCTGTCTCTCTTTCTGGCGAGTGCACACACGCACCCTATAGCAGAAAACAAACAAACAAACAAACAAAATAATCTCTCCAAAACAGGGGGGGAAAAACCCTGACTTTTAGAAAATGCTTAACTTGGGGCCAGCAGATAGTGTAGCAGTTTCTTTGCTTAACTCCACATGGGTGACTGCGGTTCAAGTCCTGGACCTGGTGGCTTGAAATTCATGCCAGATGCGCGTGTGCCTAAAATCCCAGGAGAATGGAAGAGAAGGGATTCTGGCGTGGTCACCCCCTCCCCCGGGAGGGTTGATTTCTCACATTCCCTCTCACTGTCTATGTTGGGTGAATGCACACTGAAGAAAAAAACTTAAAAAAAAAAAAAAAAAAAGCGGGGACACCTGCAGGTGGTGTAATGGTTACATTGCTACAATCCCACATGGCCAACCATGGTTCAAGTCCCAGACCCAAAGGCTTGAAACTCACGCCAGGTGCTTGTGTGGGCATGCCCAAAATCCCAAGAGAATGGAGAAGGGATTGCAGCATGGCCATCCCCACAGCAGGAGTGATTTCTTGCTTTCTGTCTCTCTGAATCTCTCTCTCACATACAACCTATAGTAAAAAAAAATCTCTTAAAAAAAAAAAAAAAACAACAAATTAACTTGGGGCTGGGAGTTGCCATAGTGGTTGGTTAAAGGTACTGGACTCCCACATGGCCAAACACCATTCAAGTCCCAGACTTGGTGGCTTACTTTCTCACTTTCTCTATGTCTCTTCCTGGTGAAATAAAAAAATATACATAGTAATAATAAATAAATAAATAAAGGAAAGTAATTAAATAAAAAATGCTTAACTTCTGCAGGACAGCTTCTGTGATGATATCCAGGTTTTTGGTGTTTCAGACAAAGAATTGAATGAAACACGCCAAGTATAAGGAAAAGGTAGTTTATTAAGTAAAAGTAAAAGTATACTCACAAGAGGTGGGAAAGGGCCTGAGAGGACAGAGAGAGTAGCTCAAAAGGTACCGGCAGCTGCATTATGCAAGGCTGATCATTTTAATCTAGGTCACATCGGTTATCGTTGGCTGGACCCACAGACTGTTCTTATCTCACTGACTCTCATCTAATGTGGCTGGGCCCACTGATTTCCCATTGGCTCTATAAATATTACTTACTTACTTAGACAGAGATCTCCTGCTCCTTTTCTGCATGCGTTACGTTGGGCAGGGAATTTTCTGCTCTGATTGTATTTTTCTCTCTAGTCACATTGGAAAGATGCTCCAGCTCCCTTACCTGCTTCCATTTGCTAGCTTTCTCCTTTCTCTTTCCCCCAGGGAAGATGGCCACAGTGCAATCCCTCTTCCAGTCTCCTCTTGGGATTTTGGGCAAGCATGCACACACATCCAGTATGATCTTCAAGCTATCGGATCTGAGACTTAAACTGGAAGTTGGCCATATAGGATCCAGTGCCTTAACCTCCATGTCATCTCCTTGGCCCTGTTTTTCAAGTTTGCTATAGGGCATGTGCACTCACCAGAGAGACAGAAAAAGTAGTCCCAGGAGAGAAGGCTACAC